CAACTGGGGTGAAGGGATTGCACTCCCTCTGCTGGGATCCTCCCCAGCCCTTCAGGTCTGAGAGGAAGGGAACAGCCTGCAACCCCCAACAGTAGATGTGGGGCTGCCAGATGCTCCAGGCAGGGCACCAGAAGGGGCTCACAAAGGCTTGTCCTCCAGGGAGATGACTGCACTGCCCCCCAGCTTCTCTGCCAGGGTGCAGCGGTCCTTGACCTCCTCATAGCAGTTTGCGTGTAATTCATGCTTGACCCCTGTCAGGTTCTTCTTGATGGAATCCTTGGAGCTGGAATAGGTCATTTTGCTGTTAAGGGGCGCAGACTCAGGGACCCAGAAGATAAACACCAGGTCCTCCTTCTTGCTCTCCTTGGTCCTGTAGGCTGTGTCATAGAGGGCGTAGTGGCAGTCCTTATCTGGCAGCATCCTGACAAAGGTGGCACAGGGGTTGTCGATAGTCTGGCCCACATTGCCCACCAGGATCTTCTTGATGACGTTCTTCTTGTCCTCACCAAGGCAGAAGAGCACTGCCTTCTTGTGCTTCTTCACCTCCTCTGGCATTGAAGACTTACGCACCTTCATGCCGTTGAACATGTTCATGACACCATCACACAGCCATACCGGAGGCCATGTTTCCGGAAGCGAAAAGGAGAGGGCTCGGAGAGCCACAGAAGACGAGAGCTCTGCAGCCACTGCCGGGACCCGACTGCCCTCTGCTCCTTCTTTGCACCATTAGATGAGGCTGCACATTGCTCATAGGAAGACTGCAACAACTTTTTAGCTGATTTCCCTAAGTCTGGGTGGGTCCCTCTTCATATCAGTCCTCCACACCTTGCTGAAGTAGCCTCCTGAGACACAGATCTGACTCTTTCCTGCTTAAAGCCATTTACTGCCTGCCTGTTGTCTATAGGAAAGGTCCAAGCTCCTTAGCATGATACCAAAGGGATTTTCAGACCAGCCCTTGCTGATCCATCTAGACTTAGGAGGGCAGCATATCAGAGTGATTATCTCCTTTACTGCCCCAGTGGCTTAACCTTTGTAGCCTCGTTTCCTCATTGCTAACATTAGGATGATAAAACCTACCTCATGGGTTGGTGAGAATTAATCAGCTCACACAGGGTTAGCCCTCGGTAAATGTTGGCTGGTATGGTTGTGTTTTTCCACTCTCTGCCTCACACTTTAAGATCAGGCTACATGGTTTTCTGCTCACTCTGTGTCCCTTTTCACCATGGTTAGTGCCTTTATTCCTGCCACCCACTCTTCTTGCAATGTCCTCCAAACCCTATTGCCAGGCTTCACGCTGGTTAGGCACATCCTCTTCCTTCTCTTGGATGCTCCATGCACATGTCGGCCATTGAGCTATAAATATCTACTAATAAGTCAGTTACTGCTGCTAGACTATTAACTTTATGGGGATGGGGGTTGTTTTATTTGTCTTTGTGTTGCTAGCACATAGCATGTGTTGAAGAAAATGGTGGATGAGTACACGAAAGAACAAAAGGAATTCACAGTCTGCTAGGGTATTTGGGGTCTAGGGATGAAGGGTGGAAGGCAGCTAAATAGCTTAATAATAACAGGTGAGAGAATCTGGGTAAAGTTGGGGCTGAGGTGAGAATTAGGCCCTATAGGAGTCCAGTGTAGGAAGTTTACTTGTTGAGTGTGGTGCATGTGGTGAGGCAGCCTGTTTAAAGTTACCTCCTCAATGAAATAAAGCAGCCCCTTTTAGGCAATCTTAATTACTCCCTTTCCTGAAAGAATCTATTGCAATTGGAAGGTCATGCAATCTGCCTTCTTGTAAGATCTTCAGTTCCTCGGAATACAATGAATTCTCTATTACCTGGAGGAGGGGGTAGAAAGGAGCTTCTTTTTAATTAAATTGTCTCTGCAACAGAAAGTGACTTTTTCCCGCCTTTTGAAGTCTTCCAGTTGTCCTCAGCCTGGCTCAAATCACTCTTCTTGAATTCATTGTTACATTAGTGCACCCTGCATTGTGAGTTATAATTTAATGTGAGCATGTCTAATTCCCTAATGAGATGGAGACTCTTTGGGAGTTTATGTTTTTTTTTTTCCCTGAAATGTCTAATGTCATACTTTTGAATTAAGAAGGCCTTCTACATATATTTATAGACTGGGTGAGTTTCTCCATACATGTGTTAAGAACTTTCAAATAATTAGAGCACAGCCTCGATTTCAGAATGCCAATGATCTTCTCCAGGGCTTCAGCTTCCCTGAAAGAACAGCTACTCAGGGCCTATTATGAAATGTTTAAGGTGCCATTTTTTATTAACTTTGAAATAAAAACAAGTATTTGGAAAATATTGATAAATGAACAAACAAAAAAACCTGAAGTAACCCTACTAGTAGTTGTGATAACTACTATTATAATAGCATTTGGAGTATGTCTCTATAATCTGTCTTCCTTGGCTTCATGTTTTTGCTTCTCTTTCTCTTTCAATAAGTGAGGTCATCTTTTATCACTCATCTGGCAATCTGCTTTCTTCTCCTTAACATCAGTAACATCAGTAGGTATTTATTAAAAGTGATGATGCTGGAGAATTTCTTTTAGGTTCCTGTTTCAACCCATAACCCACTGTTTTGCCTTTTTTTGCCACTGCCTGCCTTTTTTTGATTTCTGTTTGTCTCTCTGGATTGACCCACTATTGTGTTCTGATCTCTGATACCTGCATGCATCTTCATAGTAACTTCCAACTTTTGGAAGTGTCTGCTGTGCCCCAGATACTTGTATGTATTTTACCTGCTTTAAATATCTATTTTTGGATAGACTGGATATTTGTAGTCTCCATTTCACAGATGAGGAATTTGGTGTAGAGATTTAGTAATTTATAAAAGATCATGAAGCTTAGATGGAGCCTGAACTTATGTTTTTATAATCAGCACCTCCTCTAGTATGTGAAACTGCCATCTCTAGCTTCAAACTTCTTCTGGAATACTGGTTTTTGGGTGCCATGTCTAATCAGTTTTCAGCTCTACAATATTCCTTGAAGGGCACTGCAACCCACACCCTGGGGCCAGCATAGTGAATTTTATATTTTTTTATATTTTTTATTTGCGAGAGAGAGACAGAATGTGTGTGTGTGTGTGTGTGTGTGTGTGTGTGTGTGTGTGTGTTTAAGAAATCAGCTGTGGTTCTTGCTTTCACTCCTCGTGATGAGGCCTGCCCCTCACATCTGTTTTCAGCCCCTGTTCCTCAATACCAGAGTTATTTTCTATTAACTCAATGCACCTTTTCTTTGTAACTCTTGTCAATTTTCCCTCCAGCCACCTGCACAGTCTCTGGCTTGCTCTCAGGCTGTGAGTAAGTTCTTTGTATACTTGCTGTTTTCGATAACCTCAGCTCAAGATTTAATGTCAAGGTGGGGGCCCTATTAAAGATGCCATGAATCATCCTTTCTTTGTTTGAAGATTTCCGTGTTGGCAAGTGGGCAGATAGAAGTAGCTGTAGGTTTCCCAACCAGATGTACTGGTAGCTGAGATGCGGGCATTCAGCTGAAGTACATTCCTATCATTATTTGGCAAAGAAAGAGCCACTGAGATTAAGAGCATGATCCTTGCTTGTGATCTGGCTTCATCAACGGAATCATAGAGCCTCTGTGTTGGAAAGGGACTTAAAATCATCTGCAACTGCATGGCTCGATACTTGGGGAAACTGAGGCAATAGATAAAGGAAGTGATGTAACGTTATAGAATCCTCAGCCTTCAAGGGACTTTTGACATAACCTAACTCTGCGCTCTTATTTTATGAGGAAGAATAGTGAGGCCTCGAGAAGCTCACTAACATTCCTAATGAGGCACAGCATGTTACTGCAGAGCAAGGACTCTACTGACTACAGGACATGGGCCCTGGAGGTGAAGTCGCTAAGGGGGATCTGTAGGATTTGGCTGGTTACGAGAGCTGCCCGACTGTCTCCTCCAGGCTGGCTTCCATGGGCCTCTGTTGAACTATCAGTCGGGTGTTCTTGCCTCTGTCCCCACAGCCCTGTGGAGGTCTTCCTCCCCCTGACAGATGGTGACTGCCTTCTCCAGAGTGGTGGGAGTGAGGGAAACAGTGAGGGGAAATTAGGAAACAGGAAGCCAGGGAGAGGAGCAAGCGGTGTTGGGGCTGTACATGCTGGCTTGGTGCCTTGGTGTTGTGTGTTTCTAGAGGGTTTCAACTGTGTAGTAAAGACAGAACTTGGGGGGACATTCTCCCTGTAGTGGGACAGCAGTGTTCACAGCCTTCACAAAGTATTCCCCGCAAGAACTACTCATCCTTCACGGCCGACTTCCCTCATAGCAGTTCAGTCTTCTGCTGTTTCTTCTGGTACCACCCTCTAGATTGGGCAAGGAGAAAGATCAGGTTTGTAAAGAGATCTTTCTGGTCCTTCCAGTAATAAAGCCCCTTGGACAAGGGCCAGGGAGATTCATCTCCCAGAGACTCCTGTGCTCTAGGTGGTGGTAGAGGCTTCCTGCCAGAAGGATCTGAGGCAGAGGACGTGGATGGTGCCATGCTGGCGTCTCTGTGCATCTGGCAGCGCAACAAAGGACTTCTGTCTGCCCCGTGAGGCTGGGTCGATAAAACCCACTTCAATTGAAAGCCACCGCACTTTAGCAACTTGATAATTAAAATTCTAATATGTGAATTAAAGAAAACAAGGGGCTGTGTTCCTACCATTTTAAAATACAGCTGCAGTGATTCCACTATTGTTTCCTTTGACAGAGCTGTGGTTTTCCTACACACCTTTGTTTGAGGCTTTGATTCAGATATGCTCCCTGCGGCTGATAAGTCCCGTGTGTCTACTCACTCGTTAGATGGTGCGTGGGGATGATTCTTCTGTGATGTGGAGAATCAAAGATCGTGTCTTCAAGTTATGTGAGGTGGGCTAAGTGGCATCTCATCAAGAGCAGAGGTAAAAACAAAACTCATGGAAAAGGTACTTCCTGAGCTCCCTTTTTGTTTCCTGAGTGATTTAAAACAATAAAAGCCAAATCGAAGAGAAAACCGATGCAGCCGATACCTGAACCTACAGATTGATTTATTTCCGTGAACACTCTGGGAAAATGGCTACTTGTCGCTTTCTGTTATTAATAAAGAGGTCACTTTATCATTAGGCCTTTGAATCTGCATTTAATGGCTAAAGCAGATGGTTATAATTTCTGCCTTGGTGTGGCCACCTTATTAATAAAAAAGAACTGATGGAAACAAAAAGGCGTCTTCATTTTTAACTCCAGAAGCATAACACAAATGCTTTCCAGTCTTTCTTTGTGTGGCGAGCAGACCGAGTGACTGCAGTAAGATCCTGTTACACATTTGAAAAAAGACTTTGCAGAGTGGAGGTAACTCAGTTTGAATCCTTCTTTTGTTAAACTTTAAAAGAACACTATAAATATATGCCCCTTTCCTTGAAGAAGGTATTTCGAAGGAAGCTTCAGGATTATATTTAAAAGTCAATTAATATTTTAATAACATAAGGAAACTAAAAAACTAATTGATTTCAAATAGTGGAGGCCTGTGGTACTTTCTAAAATTATTCTTTTTGCTTAAACTACTATGAACTGCTTTTTTGGATTTAATTACTAGGCTTAGATGAATGTGCCATGTATCTTATTTTGGTTATTTTAAAATTCATTTGGAATTAAAAAAAAATCAATAATGGCAAAAACGTCTGGCAGTGGATTTCTGCTTGATTTCCTCAAGCCTGTATATTCCCCTGTAATGA